GGCTTGGTCTCCCGTCCCATCGCACCCATAAGATTCTCTCATAACGAGCTTTTTCCTTGGCAATCAATGGATTGAAAAACGCTGCCAACTGAAAATCAACCGAAAACGACTATGAGGAATAATTTTGACCCAAGCCCAGGAAAAGATGACCATCACATAGCTCGCTAAAGCGGCTTAAGGGCCTGCCCTAATGGACAGAGCGCTTGCGGGAGGTTCTTTCCCCGAGTTGAGGATTATGGACCAATTAGAGACTTAGTAATATTTCATTCCCTTTAATTAACCGATACCGTTTAATGATGTGCAATTTGTGTGCGCAGTATACCCCTTAAATTACAACTTTATTTCAGACAGAGCTACATTAACTGTAAGTTGCAATATGTTTATTCAATCAATTTTCTTTACAATTAAATCAGCGCACTCGTATCCTTTATTCCATCGACCGGGCCGGTCCTCTATCTACCGCCTTTAGCGGCGTTTCACAGTAAGGGAATTTTGGGGGCAAAAACGAGCAATATGTCCTTCCTGGTTGCAAACAACGCATCTCCTCGGGCGTCTTTGGCGGCGGTATGCCGCCTGCCTGTTCGTTCGCCCAGCAAACGCAAATCGTGGTGATGGCAACGGGCCTGGCATTGGGCCTGGCATTGGTCTGGGACATTGCAGTCGTATGGTTTTGTCAATTTCTTTGGCGATTTCCGCCTCCTCTTTACTAGCCACTAGCTTCATGAGGATGTGCTGCAGAGCCGGTTCGCCCACCAAAGGGCGACACTTTCTCAAGATAATGCTGTACTTGGTGGCCGAGTCTGGTTTTTGGTCGCGCGTCTCGGGTCGCGGGTAGGAGGCCGCGGGTCGCGAGTACCATGTCGTGGGTGCGGATAAAAAAGTCGCGGGTGCGGGTAAAAAGCCGCGGGTCCAGATTTTTCATTAAAAGATATATAAATATATAAAAAAATACATGAAGATACACAGAAAAAGATATCAATAAAAGCCAGGGTTAAAATGTGTTCATAGGCCTTAATACTCAGCAATAAACGAATACGGAMAGCCAAAAAAGAGAATATTTGCTAGTTTCTTGCTTAACCCTTCAAATTACCTGAGTCTAGAAGCAAACAGAGTGTGATCCACATCTGTTCGCGTATTCTTGCTCAATAATTTAGATTAATTTAGTGTTTATACGACCGCCAAAACAATTCTTATATAAAATACGAAGTGTCTAGATATTTATTTCAAATTGTATGCCTCGATACACGTCAAAAATAATTTCAAAGTTCGTAACTTTGTTTAGAACAGCGAAACGCCTCTTATGAAACGTGATCATTTGAAGCAAACACAATTGTCGAGTCTCGACATACTATTCTTCGAGCGTTTGCACGTTACGTCATAGATAAAAAAAAATTAATTTGAACTTAATTTCCCATGAAATCGATTTTACTATAGAATATAGTTTAGAAAACTATGTTTCGAGATAATTTTTCAACTTATTATGCGACTATATATGCGAATAATTTGATGTTATTTGGAAGCCAAAGTCATGTCACACAACGCCAGGTCACGCGCATGAAAAGCCGTGGAAATCATCTAAAATTCTTCTAAATCGTAGTTTTTTTGTCTTAATATAGATCTAGAATTSC